AATGATTTTAGCAGCATAGGTTTGCACTGCAGTATATGAGCGGGTGCAGTAACTTGAGTGACAGCTGAATCTGATGCAGAGGCGGAGTGACAGTTTTTTTTCTTGAGATCAGAGAGGACAATGTGCAGCTATTCATAGCTACCGAAAGAGCTGTTTTCCTTCCTCCTCCTCTCTCTCTTGCTCTCTGCTTGCAGTTTTTTTCTACTCACTTTCTTTTTGAAAAGTGTGGCTTAGCAACGGATGCAGTGTGTGTAAAGTCAGGTCAGCTGGACATGAGTGGTGAGCACATGTCTGCTGGTATCCCAGCTCTGCCACACCACCATGTGGTCAGCCTCAGTGTCTCCTCAATCAGCACATCACTACACTTACTCATCTGCAGTTTACAGTAGTTACAGTAGTTGGAGGATGCTGTGAATGTAATACTTAGAAAGAGTTACAATTCTGCTCACCCTTGTTTCAAACATGTATGACTTCGTTTCTTTACCTGAACACAACATATGTTTTGAAGACAAGCAGGGTGATGTTATTTGTTAGTGTTTATATATATATATATACATTTTTTTTTTTTGAGGTTTGCTACATTTGCAACCAAATTTGGGACTTGTTTAAATAGGGTTTAAAATCTTTTTTAATTTTGTTTGCTGTAAACTTTAAATAAATAGTTGTAAATTTATTTTGTAATAATAGTTGCATTTACACTACCGGTTTGGAATAATTAAAAATGTTTAATGTTTTTCAAAGAAGTCTTTTATGCTTATCCAGGCTGCATTTATTGACCAGAAATACAGCAAATACAGTAACATTGTGAAATAGTATTACAATTTAAAATAATGTTTTTTTTTCTATTTAATATAAATTAAAAAAATATATTCCACAAGGACAAAATACATTAAAGACATTTGTAATGCTAAAAATATTAATATGTGACTCTGGAGCACAAAACCAGTCATAAGTAGCACATATATATATATATATTTGTAGCAATAGCCAACAATACATTGTATGTGTCAAAATTATTGATTTTTCTTTTATATTTCAAAAATTGTTCTCTTGGATTTTCTGTTCATTAAAGAATCCTGAAAAAATGCATCATGATTTAAACTAAATAAAAAAAAAAATAACATTTTCAACATTGATAATAATAAGAACCATTATTAACAATTGAGTACCAATAATTATTGATAATAATTGAGCATCAAATCAGCGTATTAGAATGATTTCTGAAGGATCATGTGACACTGAGGACTGGAGTAATGATGCTGAAAATTCAGCTGTGCATCACAGGAATAAATTACATTTGAAAACATATTGCAATAGAAAACAGTTATTTTAAATTGTATTAATATTTTACAATATTACTGTTTTTACTGCATTTTTAATCAAATAAATGCTAGCTTTGTTGAGCATAAGAATCCTAATCATTCCTAATCATCAGTTTTGTATTCTAAATGTGTACTATAAATATTACATACATTTATTTATAAAAAGTGTTTGAAATGAAAATTTCAGATTGTGTAACTTCTGTGTTTCTTTGGATTTCTTTCTTTCAGAGGCGTTAATTGATTTATTTTGCTCTCTCTGTCTTTCTCACAGCAATGGAGGCCGAGCCGTCCCTCTCTCACCTCCAGACGAAAGCGTATGTGCGGCAACTGCAGGTCATCGACAATCAGAACCTGCTTTTTGAGATGTCCAGCAAGCTGGAGCCAAAAGACATGTGAAGGGACCAAGCGCACCTACAAGCCATATCTACAAAACCTCTTGTTCCCGCCAATGAACCCACACACCCAACCCTTCATGCTCCATTGTCGCAGATCAACCCAGCTGGACTGTCAATCATCTCAGGCTCCGCCTCCAAATCATCGAACGAGGACATTTGTTCACGAAAATGGTGTGAATTGTGTTTTGAGTGATTCTGTGTCAATGTTAATTATGACCACGCATAGTGGTCTGGATTCATTTCTACTTTTTATTTATTTATTTTTCTCGCTGTTCACGACTGAAGGGAAACCTGTCCTGATTGCACTGCCATCAATTGAACTGAATCAAACCGGGATAAGCTTAATCTGTACAACCTTCAGAAACACAGACTGCATTTTGGCCATTCATGACCCTAAAACACATGAGACAATCTGACCTCTTGAACTCTGACCTTTGGTCTTCCCTCCTCCCCTGCCAACATTGGCACTTACTGCAACCCTGTGCAATTGGCTGCAGTCATTAGATGTTAGTGTTCTGAACGATATGGATCCCCAGCCATCAAAAATGAGTCCCGAATCCAAGACCAGCTCCAGCGTACAGCATATTCTATAGTTAAAGGATGAAGTCATAATAATACAGAAGAACTGCATGTTAAAGTGAATGTATAGGAACTTGTTTACTGCAAAAAATCAATTTATGGCAATAGTTCTGTCTTGTTTTTTTTCTTGAAACAAAATTACATAAAGTAATAATCCATTTAATAAATGTAATATATTTAATACGTTAAATATTAAATATACAAAACATTTTGTTAGATTTATGCTTAAAACAAGAAGAAACAGTGGAGTAAGAACTAAATATAGATGTATACTCTGAAAACAAGTCTTATACGTTATTCAGATTAGGAATATTAATATATTCTTTTATTAAATGGATCTTGTTTTAATGATGTTTAGATGGGAAAAAAACAAGACAAAAATATTGCTAATTATTTTTTGTAGTGTAGAAACCAAATTTAACTTTGCTGTTAATTTATTAAAGATTAGTAACAGACCAAAAAACTAATTTGACCAAATGCAGTATTTTATCATATATATATTTTTTAAACAGAACCACTTATTCAATGTAATATAGCGTTAATATGTGACCCTGGAGCACAAAACCAGTCTTAAATCGCTGGGGTATATTTGTAGCAATAGCCAAAAATACATTGTATGGGTCAAAATGATTGATTTTTCTTTTATGCCAAAAATCATTAGGATATGAAGTAAAGATCATGTTCCATAAAGATATTTTGTAAATTTCCTACTGTAAATATATCAAAACATAATTTTTGATTAGTAATATGCATTGCCAAGAACTTCATTTGGACAACTTATCTTAACAAACCATACATCAATGGAGAGCTTATTTATTCAGCTTTCAGATGATGTATAAATCTCAATTTCGAAAAATGGACCCTTATGACTGGTTTTGTGGTCCAGTGTCACATATGAGTTGTTGCTGATGGCCCAGCTTCATTTCTGCTTGAGCTTTACTTGATCAAGCACTTGTTTTCAGTTTGCCCTTGTGTTTTGTTGAAAGGGCCTGGTGTGAAGTTAATTCTCATAACTGGAAAAGTGTTTATTTGCACCCAAGTTTACTCCAGAATGATCCCAAGCTGAAAACGGGCTCTGTACGGGATGACTTGTCTTGGATTGGACTCTCTCAGGATCTCCTCCTGAGGTCATACAAAGGACGGCCTGTAAGGCTGCACTGTACATACGTCATGTAAATAGCAAAAATAAATATGAATATGACTCTATTTTATGTAAGAGCTATGAGATGGACTCTCAAGAAGAATATTTGTTTTGTAAATCTAAGAAAAGAAATGTACGTGTACAGTTTAAAAGGCGACGGCCCAGACAGAGTCTGTGGTTTGCGATGAAAGAATTGTATAGCATATTCGCTGGTTTTTGTTGTTTCTGTTTGATATCATTTCTTATCCATTACAGATGACCTGTACATATCCTCTGTTTTGGTTGCATAGTTTTTTTTGCGTTGTCTGTCTGCAATGGATGAATTGTACAGCATGTAGGTGGTTTAGTTGGATTTTGCGGTTTTTATTTGGTCAAAGTTTCTCATTTGTTTTTATTTGCTCTTTTTAAAGCGGGTATTCTCTTGTTGTTTTTTGGTTTTGTACAGAAGTCCGTGTTTACAGTGCGATTATCTGAAACTCAGACATGTCCAATGAAAGACACGGAGGGTGGGGCATACAACATTGCCCCGCCCCCTTTCCTTGACATGAGTCAAAGATGCATCTAAAATAAAGCCTCTTGTGATGAGCACTCGAGACGTTCTGCCTCCCTGTGTATGTGCACATGGTGCAAGAATGGTGCAAAAAGCTTTCTAGCTAAAGATTTTAAAATTATGATTCTCAAACGTTATTGGTCATTACGCTCCTTTTTTTGTTTCCAGTCCAACAAGACCCGTTTATTCAATTAGCCTAACTGTGACTTGCTCTGACTGTAACATTTGAATCTGCTGCAGTCAGATTAGTCGAATTCACACACGAACCAATCAAATCGGTTTATTCTTTGAAAAGAATCGACTCAGAAGACTGATTCAATTCTGACATCGCAGATTTCTTTAAAATTACAACGACGGCCATCTTTTTCTTAACAGTAGATTGGATCCATTTAACAAATAATAAAAATAAAAAACAGAAAAATGGAATAGCAGAAATAAGCAATTATTATTTTTCGGCATTGTTTTTGTGCTGTTGACAAATTATATTTTTTTTGTGAAGGACAGAAAAATAATGTTTCAATATATCAATATCGCTAGGTGCTATAAGAAACAATACATTTTAACTAGTGCTGTCAAATGATTAATTGCGATTAATCGCATCCAAAATAAGTTTTTGTTTACATTATATATTTATTATGTATATATAAATACACACACATACAGTATATATTTCACACACATACAGTATATATGTATATGTTTATACATTTATATATTCATATTCTTGTTTTATATTATATATTTAATATATAAACATATGTTTTTCTGAAATATATACATGCATGTGTTTGTATTTATAAATACATAATATACACAGTACACACATACATTATGTAAACAAAACTTTTATTTGGGATGCGATTAATCGCGATTAATTGTTTGACAGCACTAATTTTAACTTAACAAAACCTAACGTAACAGCAATTGCTCAGCAATGTAAACCCACTTGCACATCGACTTTCAAAACAAAATTTCAAAACAACACAAAAAAAGACAAAATTTCAAACTTGCTTAGCACATTTCTGCATTTATTATGACAGTACGTATGCAATTATTGAACATGATGACGATTATTTCAAATGGAGAACATCTTCCTCCGGTTCATGTTGTAGCAATTTACATGGCAGGGCTAAAAAAAGGAACTTAACAGTACAGTCGAGTTCGTAAAACAACTATAAAAATCGGTGTTCCTGCTTTATGTTAGGTGTCAGACAAATGCGCTAATGTCATAATTATGGCAATTACAATCAAATTACAAACTGTGGCATTTGTAGACACTTTTTTCCTCTCCAATATAGAGCTAAGCAAGTTGCTGCTTGTTTAACGACACTGGAACGTAACATCTTTAAACATGTTATTTTGTACTCATTTTATTATTAGATTTAAATACACCGTAGGACACCAAAAATAAAGAGGAACTAACTATTACACCAGCAAGTGAGGAGAAAAACACAGAGCTCTTTCCTGTACATGGAAGCAAATTCGTTTCATTAAAGGCAGCAGCTAAGCTAAGCTAAGCTAAAATGTGAAATTTAAAAGCGTTTCAAAGATTCAAAGTGTCCGTTACCTCAATAACCCAGTTTGCTCGTTTCTACAGTGTGACGCACGGCTGAACGTGCCACCTCTGGACATCCATACACAAGGTCGTTGTGTACTAGTCAGCACATCACATTTCAGCAAACAGAGGCTCACAGTAAACAGAACTATACACAGCAAATATGACCGTTTTGTTCGAATATCTTTGCTAATAAGGTCCTTGTCAACCCAGTGGGCTTCCTTAGTTATAGGGTTAAAGAGTCAACGAATTAAGAGCAGTACAACTGAGATAATAGTCCCATAATTAATGGAGCGAGAAAATCGTTTCCAGTCAGTGCTTGTTCTCGCTTACCTGAAAAATGATTTTAGGTGACTATGACAATGAAAGTCAGACATAAACTCTAATTGCGGTTTAGGATGGTTGACATTCAAAATAGGTTAGCAGAATAGTAATGATTTTAAGATTCCTATTATGTTCCTACCATCGTTTCACGAAACTCTGCAGCATCGTTTGAATCTCAGTGCTACCCTGTTGCTTTATCAACATTTTAACCAATGTAAAACAGAAACTGACTTGTAATAGTTAAAAAAAAATACTAAAAACTGAATGAAAATCACGTAAAATTAGAACAGTTTGTAAAAAGCTGAACAACACAAACACTTTAGGGAGGGAAATAGGAAGAATTCCAATACTCTTTAAGGTTTTCAATACTGAGCCAGGAATAAGAGTTTTTTTGTCATGCGAAAAAACAACTTGATTCTCTTTCATCGATATGGTTGATGTAAGAGGCTCAACAGTGAGAATAGGACACAACTAACTAAAGAAACTAAAGAAAATAATTTGCGCTCCACAAACTGGGGGCCGTTCACACAGAAGGCGTTCTTCTGTTTACAAACGCGTGACGCAGTTTAACAAATAAAAAAAAGGGTTGACACTTGAGAGTGTGTTAAAAACGCGAAGCTCATGCGTTTTACGAGAAAAATAACAAAAAAGCAGCGCAGTAGAAGGCAAAATGCATTCTGTGTGAACCATCCCTTACATTTACGTGAAGGTGGTTCACAGAACGCCTTTTTTTTTTTGCATTTCACTGCTCTACATTTCCGTTGTTTTTCTATGTAAACAACACGTGCTAGGACATGTTTGACCTTTGTGTTCAAGTCTTGTGGCTTGTGGCTTTTTAAAACACGGTGCTCAAATTAAAAATAAGTTCTACTTAAAAAAAAAAAAAGTGTTTCAAAACCTTTTTTTGTGGAAAGGGAAAAAACGCAAGATCTCGAGACATGTTTTTTTATTGGTTCTGTGTGAATGGCCCCCAGGAGTGGTATTTACGAATATTTCAGTTAAATTCTGCTCGTGTCCTATGAATGAGGCTCGGTATCTCTAACATGCTAACTTGGGGCCATCTGTGGATTTGAGTTGAAAAAGGTGACATATAATTGAAGTCTCAAATTCCTGTGTCAAAATTCCAGTTTTCCCAGGAGTACAATAAAAAACAAAAACACATTTAAGACAACATAACGAAGACAAAAGTGGCTTCTAACACCACAAACCAACTAAAGGGAGATTCCACATCCTAGTATATGGAATGCTAATACTGAACCAATCCACGTCCATCAGACAGAGGAGGAATTAAGCAGAAAACTTTAGGATTCTCCTGGATTCTCTGTAGTGCAATCTGAGTGCACTTACTGTGGCCCCCGGAGACCAATACGTTGGAGTAAACACACTATAAGTCTGCTTAAACAAAGAGGGCTGGTGAAAGCTTTTGGGTAGCAATAAAACAAGGCCATATTTCTGATTGATGCAGAAGTCTTACTCTGTCACGTCACAGAGTCAGACGACATTGCAGGGTTGACCGAGGCACACTGCACCAACTAACCACAAGCACTGGAGTTAAAGCACAACCTGTGAAGAAACCTCACCCATAAGCCCCTATTCATTCTACTTCCATTAGCACGTCTTTTACACAGAAAGCAAACATGAGAAGCCCCTGAATGCTAACTCTAAATGTCAAGATTACACTTTTCACACCCTGTTTTCCAATTTAGTCCTAAAAAAAACTCTCTCTTTTGCCATGCAAAAATGGATCATTTTCACTGTATTATTTGCCTAGATGTGAAAAGTAAAGCCCTTACCCCTTCTCCTCCCCCCAGTACATTGCTTAAGCGGTTTTAATATTTAAATATATGCCAGAATATATACAAACAGTCCTCTTGTCAGTCACTGCTATACAGGCCGCCTCTCGCTCCCATCCTACACTTATTAAGGGTGCATGTGGGCATCCGTGCCGTCTTTGTCCGGCAACCATTTCGCTCTTCTCCTGCAAGCATGTGAGTGAACGTTTATTAACGAAGAGGTTCTACATTCCTGCCGAGAGCAGAGAGGCTCATAATACCTTTATGGGCGCTTAAAAAGAAATGGAGAACATGACTGAATGACTATAAAAAGGGCCTCCTGATGGCTAGACGTCCCTCAGGCGTCTGGTACAGTGTGTGTTGTCCCCTCTTTGTCCCCGGTAACATCCCCTCAGCATGTTTCCTGTAGTTCATCAGGCTCTTCAGGTCATGGAGGGAAAATGTGGTCGGAGGGTAGAGTGGGCGGAGTTCAAGGCTTTTCTGTCATTCTCTCCGTCATTTCCACAGAGGAAGGTTTACGACGGCTCCAAGCTCTTCAGAGCGCCAACCTTTGACTCCAAGTCCGTAATCTGAGATGGAAACAGAGGGAAGTTCAGGCCAGTATATACACTTTATATTAACATTTTTATATATGTGGCAAATGCTTTTATCTTTAAATGCATACATTACTGTTCAAAAGTTTGGGGTTCAAATTTTTGAAAATGTCCACCAAATACGTGAGACAAACATTTTTTGACTGTTGTGTTTACATCTTGCATCTTTCATGACATCATGCATGACACGCTGATCTAAAAATGCGGTGCTCAAGTAAAAATAGGATTAATAATAATGATTAGGGTTGCAAAAAGGTGGAAAATTTCCAGTAAATTTCGAAAACATTCCAGAAATTTTGGAAACTTTACAGGATTTTTTGGGGAATATTCCAGGGATTTTTGGAAAGTTTCCGGAAACTTACCGGAAATTTTCCACCCCTTTGCAACCCTCATAGTGATGTTCGCTTCAAGTTCAAGTTAATTCTAAAGCACAATTTTAAACAACTAAAAGTTGACCAAAGTGCTGTACTGCTGACAACTATAACAAAATTTAAATCAAACACAGTTTACTTGAAGGAGATTACATGAAACTCTACAATACATTAAAAGCCATGAAAAACAAGTTTTAGATTTAAGATCAGAAAGTGTTTGAACACTTGAGGCTGTTCCACAGTTTTGGTACAACTACTGAAAAAGCCGGATCAATTCTCAGTTTTATTCTTGCCCTAAGAACAGTCAACAACCTCTGATCTGAAGATCTGAGGGATCTCGATGGATTATGCACAGACAGAAAGCTCGATATGTAAGTAGGCGCCGGTCTGTTTAAAAGATTTAAACACAAATAAAAGAATCTACCACTAATACACATAATATAAAACTAGTATTTGCATTTACCCTTGTGGATCACACAGTGTGTAGGGATGTAACGATGAACCCCGAGCCGGTTGAAAATCAATACAAATATAAGACGATTCAAATCAGTTGAGATGTTAAATGAATCGTGACACAACTGGGGGTGGGACTGTAAGTTTATATGAATGGATCTCTGAGGGGAACTGACTGTCTTTCGATGGTATTTTCTTTTTATCTTGCCTCTGTATAATGCATATTAAAATAGTGTTCATAACTGCAGCACTGCTTTGTTTACAGCGGCTACCAAGGAAACGCTGTATCACTGCTGTTCATACGCGCCACCTGCTGGCAGAGAGTCAATTTGCGTCTCATTCAGCTCGTCTGCTGTTTTTGTTTCGTTCAGTATAGTTTCACAAAACTAAAGTCAGACCATTCTGTTTTTGCTTCAAATTTCGAAATTATACAATCCAATTTAGATTAAAATCTGCTCATGCTGCATGTATGCAGCATCCTTGTTTGGATCATGATTAAAATATAGTGGTGGTTGCCTCTAATTTTAAATGGAAAGAGCACAGACAAAGCCTTAGTTTGTTTATATAAAGAGATCTCTTTCATTTCTGTTATTCATTTGATTTGGGTTTGTTTTAAAATTACAATTTAGTTTTGTTATATTTCAATCCCACAAAGAAATGTTTAGCAATTTTGTAATAATAAAAGGACACATTTTCATTTCTAATGTGTCTTAAATCTCATTTTCTTAAAAAACTAAATCGTATCGTGAAATCAGTTTTGTGAATTGTATCGCATCGTGACTTGAGTGAATCGTTACGTCCCTAAGAGTGTGTGAGCGAATAAGAGCAAACTGTTTCTGGAAATACTGGTTTCCAAACGCACCTTCTCCTGGAGATTTTCTGTCTCCACCTTGTGGCTGGCCTCTGACTCCTCTTGTGCTCTGCGCTGGGCCGTCTCCTTCTTCAAATACTCAATCTCTCTGCATTAAGACACACACATATGCACAACATGCTTTAAACCCTTTCGCTAGGTCACATGAAGGAGTTTTGTCTAATTCCTTCAATCACAAACCCCACGAACATGCTTATTTTGTTATGTGATCCTGATTTAAGTCATTATATTGAGTCTGACTTGTTAATATCCTCAATCCCCTGCACTCACTTCTGCTGGTACTCTTTGATGAGGCGTTTGGCTTTGCTGTACTTGCGCTCCAGCGCCTGGTACTGCGTCTGTGTCTCTTTCAGGTGCTCATCCACCGCCTGGCACAAGCTCTGAGCCTCCATCCAATAGCCCTCCAACTTCTCCATCCGCTCCTTATTCTCTCTCACCGTCTGCTCCAACTGAGCCCTCTCCATCCGCCAGCGCAGCTTATCCTGCTCAGCGTGAGCCAGCTAGAGAGAGACGGAGAGATCGTCACAAGGGTAAATAAAGGTTGTTTAACGATCTCTGAAACCTTACATTTAAAGCAAGCAAACAAAATGCATACCTTCCTCTTGAGCTGCTGGATCTCAGCCTGGGTCACAGCATGTTTTATCTGGAGCTGGAGACACAGAGATGGATGTTCAGAGATGTACATTTTTCTTGATTATTGAGTACATACATACAGATAAATACCTACAAACCAATTCGAATGGAATTTAAATTATATTTTAATATATTTAGGGACTTTTAAGACTTAATTTTAGGGACTATAATTATATAAGCAATTATTATTATTATTGTTTTCCAATACTGGAAGCAGATCATTTCAGGCCTTTTATTTTTCAATTCAAATAGTATATTATTTTTTAAATATAGTATATGGTATGTATATATGTGTATATAAATAAATATATATATATATACACACACACACACACACACACACATGTAGTATGTTTCTTTTTCAAACACTAAACAGAGATCTATCTGTTCATAACATTTTGGCATGTGAATTTAATTAAAATTCTACAATGTAGCATATAATTCTAGACTTGAGATATAGGGCAGATGATTTTATTTTTTAAATTAACAAACAAAACAAAACAAAACAGCAGATTTATAATACCTACACTAAAAAAAATGGTGTAGAAACAATTTCCACTCATAAAAAGCTAGTAAATTTCACAAACAATAATAATAAAAAAAAGTAACACGTTTAATTAATCAAGCAATTCTAAAGTTGAAAAACTGAAATAGTATATTCTTGTGAAATGTACTCCAATAATCAAACAAACAAACAAACAAATAAATCAATAATTATTGATATTGACCAACATTTTTATATTGGAGCTTTAGTGTAAAATAAAATAAATAGTTAAAAACTATCATAGCTAATAATCATAATATAAATAAAATGATCAGCTATTAGTATTGTCGCCAGCATGAACAGGTTTGCATATTTTTTATGGTAATGTGTTTATGTGTGGTCAGCTTTACAAGTTTTCTTGTGTGTCCCACTGACCTCCTTAAACTTGTGTGCGAGTTTCTCTGGGTCCATCTCCACAGGAGAGAGCATGTCTTCATTCTCTGCCAGGTCAAACACCTCGATGGCATTAGGAAACATGGGGCTCATCTCTTCCTCTTCATCGGCGGCATATTCACCCGTCTGAACACGGACAAGAAATTGAGAAAGAACAAGAGATGGATATTGAAACATACTGTTTTTCAGTGCCTTTGAGATTTGTATATCTGACCGTAATCAATTTATGGATCTTGAAGCTCAAGACGTTTCTGCATGAGACGTTTGATAAGGTTTCTTGACTTAAATGACTTTGGGTATGTATTGGCTTCTGATCAGTGTGTTAGTAACATTAACCACTAGATGTCAGAGTTAAGCTAGGCAGAAACCAATTGGATCAAGGGAAAAACACATGCCAGGACATTGTAAAAAAACAAAACAAAAAAAAAACCTGTGGCTGGCCAACCACCATTTTGAATTGACTCTGCAGCTGCAGGAAGATGAAGCAAAGGCAGATAAAAGCAAACTGAAAGAATTGCAACCATGTGATACACCGATGTGCCACATTAGAAATGATTTGAGAGCTGTTGAGAATATCTTGGACCATAAACAAACATACAAAGTCTCCTAGGAATTTCTGAGCAACACCACCATGAAAGCATGTCCCAACACATCTGAAATAAAGCCTTTGCAATCGGTCTATTTTGTAGGTTGGTATCAGTTCAGCATCGAGTGATACAATAACTATTATTTACAAGAAAAGAGTGACAATCAAATTACTACAGTATCTTAAGTTAAGTTAACATATATGCTCTATAAAATGTCATTTACTGTAATTGTCACTCATCACTGATAGAGCAAATGACACAAATTCAATAGAAAATTCTTAGAAAAAATACATTGTGAAATTGTAAAAATACAAAAGCAAAAACCTAAATTTTCTCAGAAGTATTACAAAATACTTTGGTTATAGATTTTTGATTTTTTTCAGATTAAACAATTGTTATTCATATATTATTCTGTACTTTTTTTAATACAGTTAAAGAAATTAATGAAAACAATTATAAAACGTCTGATTCGCATTAATCAATTACATAACACTGCATTGTCAATAAACTATTATATGATAAAATATATATTTATAAATTTATTTATATATTTATACATTATAAATATATAATATAAAATAAAAAATATGAATATAAATATTAACTTATTATATATTATATATCTAATTATAGATATGACCATTTATTTTACTTATATAATATTTTTTTAAATTATTATTTTTTTAAATTAGTGTCTTACGCTCACCAAAGCTGTATTTATGTGATGAAAAAATGTAATCAAGACAGTAAGATTGTGAAATATTATTACATTTTAAAATATCATTTATTCCTGTGTTTTAAAAGCTGAATTTTCACTCCAGTCATCAGTCACATGATCCTTCAGAAATCATTCTAATACGTTGATCATTAAAAGAAACATTTCTTACATGCATTTTTTTCAGGATTCCTTGGTAACTATAAAGTTCAAAAGGACAACATGTATTTGAAATAGAAATCGTTTAACATTATAGATGTCTTCACTGTCACTTTTGATCAATTTAATCTGTCACTAGTAAATAAAAGTATTCATTTCCTTACATATATCGGAGAGGAGAGGGGCTTCTGTATTTACAAATGTATTTTTTTTATCTCAGTGAGTCCAATTTGTCATTCTGTCTGGCTGCCCAAATCCATGCATCGGTCTGAACTCCGCCATGTGGGTGAAGTAGCAGACAAACTGTTTGTTCCTGCACCTCTCAAACGTTAAGACAACTGACGTGAGCTCAGTGTTGCGGAGGAGAACGCGCTGAGAGGGCACTGAGCTGGTAAATCTAGCCGCGAGACGCACTGCCATGGCATTCTGCCCTTACTTTCACACCCAAGATCTCCAAGAACACCGACTGCAAGAACTGTGAATCTTCAACATCTGAATTATGAATCAATTCCCCTCACGCCATGGCAATGTGGGCAGGTGTGGAGGACAATTATGAGACATGAACGTGTCAAAGCAATGCAGTGCTTTAAAACAGAGCTAATTATTGTGATTTTATGATTCTGAAAGAGAGTCTCGGTGAAGAAATGTTGACATCCTGTCTTCCACTGCATGCAACCAAAATCACTTTAATAACTCATCATTAAGGGGTACAGCTAGAATAATGCAATTAAATGGTTAAAAAAAACCACATTTCTTTTAATATTACTTGATTTATAAGCTTTGAGCATTTTAAACATGTCATAAATGCATGTTTTGAAGCATTGCCAAGAACAAGGTCAAGCATCATTCCCCCCATAAATCTGTCACATACTGAAGGGAAAATAATATTTTATAGATGGAAAAACATGCTGTTGCAGAGAACTACATGTATATGATCATGGTCTCTGAAGAAAGCATTATCTGAAATTAGTCACTTGACTCTTCACCTTCGCTTTCACCGTCTCGTCAGTCCTCCTGTTCAGTTTGTGTGCAATATTTGTGCGTCAAGTATTTCTTAACATTGGAAGGTTTGTCCTTTCCACCCACATGATTTCTTTGTGAATATTAACTTGTACTGAATGAATCGGAATCAAAAGTAGTTGTTCAAAATTCAAGACAAAAACAAACTGAGTCTTTTAAATCTAACTCATCCCAATACATCCCAAAGTGGAGAAACGGACAGCAGCTGATGAGGCTGTGATGAAGACGGCCCTGTCTGTAAGAAAGCCGCTGACCCAGCTCTCATCTTCTCTGTGCCGTCAGCAAATGTTATGTAGAAGTATGACACACACACACTGACTAGGATTTCCAGTCTAACTTATGAAATCTGAGGTCAGTGGTGTAAAAAAGGAGTATGTAACATATGCAATCCAGTGCCACTCAACTGGAGGCAAAATAATAGATTTTCTATATGTTCTATATAATCTACAAAGTACAAAATATACATTTAACACAATAATGACCAAAAAAACCCAATTATTTGTATTTATATTTAAGCCTTATAAATATGCAAGCCTCAAAAGCTAAATACAGCTATTCTCAAGAAATCTGCCCGATCACCTGAAAAACACCTAGTGAATCAATGACATTGATGACACTTTCATCAGTGTACAGTGTCTGTCTGGGTGTGCATAAGAAAAGCTTGTGTCCACAGACAGGGAAAAGTCTATTTCACTATAGCAAAATATTTACTATAATATAATGAAATCTTTGCAATTAATAGGTTTAAAAATTCATGTGGTGGAGTGTTTGGGAAACATTAAAAAAAATGGGCTGCATGATTTGGGGGGAAAGTGTATTGTGATTTTTCTGATTAAAATTTTGTGATTTGAAATACGATAAAAAAACAGGCTTGCTTTGCTTGTTTGTAGTCCTACACATTTCTGTAATTTTGTTATGAAAATGGCTGTAAAATAATAATAGTAATAATAATAATAACTAAATTAAAATACACAAATTACTAAATAAAAACAAAATAAGAAATATTAATATTGTAATACTCCACTGTAAAATAAGTATTTAAATAAGTATTTAATTTATAATTTTATTTCATTTTTAAACTACGACAGTAGAATTACAATACTAATATTTATGGCACTTTTTAACTTTTATTTTGATGGAAAACGGCAGGAAATCAAAAAAGGAAAAGCTTCTATTTGGTAACAAACGCTTCTCATTACAAGTAATTTTTCAAGTAATGATTTCTGAAGGATCATGTGACACTGAAGACTGGAGAAATGGCTGCTGAGAATTCATCACAGGAATAAATTACATTTTAAAATATATTCAAATATAAATGAGTTATTTTAAATTCGATACTAATTCACAATATTTATGTGAATTTATCTTAATTTTTTTATTTTTAATGGCTGGCACATGGTTCATTGCCAAATGCATGTTACAGCGACCCAAACTCAGAGCAGATGCAGAGATGAGTCTGTGTGGAGCAGCATTTACTGCGAACCAAAGCTCTCTGCGATGCTACAAACACCAGCAGATCATGAGCTGCTCATGTGTAAATGAACACAGTGCTGCGCTTCACTGTGAAACACGCAGTGCTTATATTTATTTAATTAAATCCCATGTTACTTGTACTGAATCTGCATTAGTCGCAAATTGAAAAAGTTGTCTGTTAAGGGTACAATTGTGTATCTGAAGAAGCTTTACCTCTTCGTCCTCTTCCATGTAGGGGTTGTAGCGCTGCTCCATCATTTCTTTCTGCCATCTCTCCTGTTCCAGTGTCTGCTGGATCAGCTGGGCCACTTCACTCTGTTCCCCGGGCTTCTCCCGGCCAATCACAAACCTGCAACACACAAACACCAGCCAATCAGATATAACCTAGTGAACCAGCTGTCATTCCTTAAGTGAGTTCTCTACTGTGATGATTTACAGGAAGGAAAAGACCTGCATTATGAAGCCTAAAAGGCTCAAAAACTTCATCACCATCCTGCTGTATGCCTTCAACTGCATCCAATTTAAAAGCAACTGATTGTCAGTTGCTTCTATGCTCAGGTATTCCACAAAAATAAAAGTTATTATTAAACATGTTCTCTCCCACTGGGCTTAAGCCTCGTCTATTAATCACATTTTCCATTTCCCTGCACTACAATCAAGCACCATCCACGCCTAGCCAGAACAGCTTAAGAGAAAACAGGACGCAGATGCGTGAGCTTGTTTGAAATGCCACAACTACCCAATCCCTCATCTTGACTGTAGATACAACCACACAGGCCTTAGATCTTTGTTAAATCAAAGTAACAGAAAGCAGCAATCTATTCGATACACAGCACTGTCAGGGCAATATTAGAGATGATAGTGAGTCAGTGAGTATCTGATGCCAAATGAGACGACAGAAGATAATGCTGGATTAAATAGAGGGAAATTAAATTCTAATGCACTAAAACCTGAATTTTTGGTACAAAAACATGTGCAACAAAAGTTCAAAATGAAGCAGTGGATCTCTGTGAACTCATTCACACCAAGTCTGATAATACTCCAATGATATATAGCTTTTTATTATTATTATTTTTTTTATTCTTTGGATACAGAAATACAGAAATTTTTGCATTGGTCTAAATATTTTTTGAGTGAATATTTTATCATTTTATATTATTTTTGTCATATATGTAATTCTATCACTCACACACACACACACACACACACACACACACACATATTAACATAAACGCCTGGGTTTGAAACGACATGAGGGAGAGTAATTAATGACAGAATTTTCATTTTTGGGTCAACTATCCCTTTAAATTGGATACTAATTCACAAAATTACTGTTATGACTGTATTTTCGAATAAATAAGTAAATAAACAAATAATAAATAAATAAATAGACTTTTCAAAAATACATATATAAAAAACCCTAATCTTATAATATAATATATAGGACTCGACCAAACCTTGACCTGTGAGATTTTAAAGGGGTCATGAACTGCCTTTTTTTGTACTGTTCTCTGGGGTCCACTTATAACGTTATCAAGAGTTTTATATAAAAAAACATCATAATTTAGAAGTAACAGGCTATTTTCTGTGCTGTTTTGACCCCCCTCATCAAAGCGCTCTGTATAGACGTGGCGGATTGTAGAGTCGGAAGTAAACACCCAGTGCTATGATTGGCTAATAGTTGTGTGTTTGACAGACAACGTCCTTCACAGATGGACACTGCTGTGATTTAGGTTAAAAACGCATGAATACTCATATCAAACGATCTGTTTAACAGACAAAACAATAGTGTAAAAACAGTTACTGATTAGGGTTGTGACGGTGAGGAAATTTTCCCACCGGTTAATCGACATGTGACAACACCGGTAATACCGGTATCACTGTGGGGGCGGGGCGGGGGCGTTCCCTCTTTTCCTGGCTTTCCTTCCCTTTTAAATAGCTTGTAAAAGCTGCGTGCACATTTTACTTTCACTTTCAAATAGCGGCAATTCGGCGTAAAGCAATTGTTCGTTTTTAGTTCGTTTGAATTTCCCCTCTTTTTCTTCGCTTTTAAATAGCTTAAAAGCGCTGTGCTTTTAAGTCAATTGCTTGAATGCAACAACAAAATACAACGTCAAACTCATTTTAGCCTATATATAAAACATAGAACTTTTATTAACAAAACAAATAAAAATACACCATGCTATAGGGCAAGCTATGCCTAATATAAAATAACAAATAACTTACATAAAGTTTAAATAGGTATACAAAACTGGAAATAGGCGATACTTCAATCTTTCTGCAAATCCTGCATCGAATTGTTCCTTGTTTGTAAACAAATCCACTGTAAAATTAATTGAACAAAGGACCAAGTTCTTACTGACGTGGTGAAGAACTTCAATAAAAATAAAGTTCATCCTCTCTTTTCTACTGTTTAATACAAGCTGTTTTTAGACTAATGTGAAAGTTTTGAGTTCTGAAACTTACAGGATGTTTTTATAGTACAGTTAGGGATATGCCGGTATCAAATTTTCATGTTGCGATTAATTGCTCATGCTTTT